CTAGTGCGGGGTTAAGTTGAGTGTGTGCGTTATTATTAAAAAAAAAAAATTTTTTTGTAATCATAATCATACTTACTATCGACAACTTTATCTATAGATTGTGAAAGTGACCTACTTTTAATTTAATTTTGCCAAAAATGTCTGAATTGTGAATGTTACGGCGTTCTATTACTAATTGCGTTATTATGTTTTTTAATTCTTATTTTGACAGCTTCTTTATTATATCATTTTTGAGGTCGGTTTTGTTTAATAGAAAGTTATTATTATTTTAAATAATGTTTACGACCCAACTATTTTTTATTAAAGAAAATGATAATGTGACAACCCTACGCTCCGAATGACGTATACGTGCAGAAAAGACGGTAGTTGAACTACTTGTACGATGATTATACTATGGTTATAGGTTTCTTGTAGTTTGTGCAGAAAAAATACTCTTACAATACCCTACTGTCGATTATGAACTCATGATTATTTTGATGAAATTTCATACACATGGGGCTTGTCAACTTATGTCTCAGGGTGACGGATGCAGTGGCAGTGCCCCTAAGATCTTTGTGATTTAAGCTCTGATTGGCACTGCAACTGTCATGGACAAGCGTGTCGCTTACCACCAGTCGCATGACTTGTTCGACTTGTCACTTGGTATCTATGAACATTTTGTATGGAGCAGCGTTTTTCTGCCTGCCAGTACGGTAGGCAGATACTACGGATCTGCGGTTGTGCGTCCGATGTCGATTTGAATAAAATTTATTTTTTGTCTTTTATTTTTATTTATTTTTTTAATTTATTAGACTAAATAAAAAGAAACCTTTAGAATAAATTCTATGTTTTTAATGTGAAATGTTTTTAGCAAAATGGTAGGAATACCTGTATAGTTTTTTGTAATTTTAGAATATAATACATTGTTGAACGACACTTGTAAGTAATAATAAGAATTGTAAACTTCCTTTTCGCTGCGGTCGGTTTGGAAATGGTCAAAATAAGACTTAATCTTTCCTTTTTATATATAGTCTACTGCTTGACATGGGGCCTTTTTGAAGAACATGTTTTGCTGTTATGACCGACTGTCGCGCAGAGAAGTGCACTTATTATGTAAATAAAAAATATCACTTCCAAGTGTCGCTCAAGTATCGATAACATTAGGGAATGTAAAAAAAACGTACAAAATGTTAAATCTTCCATTTTACGGCTACCGGCAAACTAGGCGGCTGAAATAACGCGCGCGCAATTTTTCTCGATTGTAAATAGTATTTTTTTGCCTTGGTATGGCTACATATTTTAATGTTTAGCGATCGCGCGTAATTTTAGCTGCTTTTTTGTCGTTTGAATTTCAACCTTATGATATTTGGAAGAACATAAGTTCTACCTTAACCCGCGCATTTTGATACTATAGTCGGGCCATTGAGACAATGCCAATGTGTTGAATTTAACAAATATCAAGATTGTACTCTTGACGCTGTACGCCAGTCTTGAGGATATCTTTTTTTTTCTATTACGATTATTCAATATTTACAATGGCATCCAAGGCACGGGAACATAGTAAGAGTAGGCCATTTACAACTGTTCCTTTGGGTTAGATCTTTTTTAATAATAAATGTTTTAATTACTTTTTATTGAATGTCAGAATATTTCACCACCATCATCTTCAATTATTTTTCGAGTAATTACTCCACTAGTTATAATTGTTAAATTTTTAGTTGCTATAGAGCTTGTTAAAGAGTTCGTCCAGGGGTAGTGCTGCCACCTTATCTGCCGTCCACGAACTAAATTACGGCGAAGTGACAAATGGTCAAATCCTTTTTTAAAAACAGTTACAATTACTTAACGTGTTCGAGATATCGGAACCTACCCTAACGATGCATAGCTGAAATATCAGGAAACAATTTCAATATTTTGAAACTGGGTTATGGACTTTGGACTGTGGACTTTTATGGTCTCAAAAAAATATTTTATAACTTACGCGTTTTATTTAGTTAGTGGACGGCAGTTATCTATTTCTGCCGCCAAGCAGTAATGTCAGCATTACTGTGTTCCGGTTTTGAAGGGTGAGGGTGTTGGTGAAATTCCAGGCACGTGGGACTTGTCAACTTATATCTCAGGGTGACGGGAGCAGTGGTAATGCCCCTCAGGTCGCAAAGCTCATGGACAGGCGTGTAGCTTACCCGTCACTTGATATTCTAAAAAAAAGCCAAGATCGAATACTTTCAATTCTTTCCGGCTGGAGGACCAGCGTCCTCGCCGCACCGAGTCAGCAGATCTGTGCTTGTTGCAGATATTTGTTTTTTGCCGTAGCGCCATCTGCGCGAAATTTATGTAAGTTTTTCTTCACTCAGCCAGGCACCTTTACAGCTACCAGCGGCTGACTAGAGTTGTGGCTTTAATAATTTTAATATTAAGTTTATTGAATACCACGATGTTTTACCTTGATATTAATTTTTTTTTTGTGACAAGATCTTTTTTTTACTTTGTCTTTTTTTTACACTTTATCATTTCTTTCATTCTTTAATAGATCAAGAAATTTGTTATAAATTTTTGTGGACATAAAATATGGAGAGTGCATAATAAATGAAAACATTTTTTTATTCAGCTTTATGATGTGAAGTCTCTCAGTGGCTCTACTATGGTCTAAATCTTTTCCATATTTTTTTCGTGATTCGATTTCTAAAATTAAAAAAAGTACACGGAAACAAAATTACAGCAATTTTTTTTAAATGTACAAGAACAAGCGATCGTGTCGCTGACACCTTGCTCCCCGTTCACACGACATTGCACTGCACGTTTTTTGTAGTATAACACCCTAACCGAATAAACAGTAGCTCATATTACATTATAATAAAACCGTTCACACGTCGTTTGCACTGCAAAAAACGCACAAAACATTCACGCGCACATCGAATACAGCAAAAAAAACGTACAGTGCAATACCTTGTCAATGTTGGGTTGTTGTTTAAAATTTAGATTTCTATAATAGTAAAGTCAGCGTTTAAATTTATAAAAACAATTTTTTGTCCGCTGGTAGTGGCAAAATGAGGCCACTTGGTATCTTGACAAGTTATATTAGTAAATAAGAACGACCACTGTATATAAAAGTAGAATAGACTGTACATACGTAGTGCATATTATATACACAGTTATATGATGTTGTTTTATTTCTATACCCCTGTTGTTTAAATTCGTAGCAGTGGAGCTCCTTGTGAACATCCAGGGAAGTACTGCCACCTTGCCTACTTCATATTTCTGTTCCGCCAAGTGTGAGAAGTACTGCAAGCGTTAGTTGAAAGGGCACATGTGACATTTTTTCACCGACTTTAAGGAAAAGGTGGAGGTTCACGACTGCAATGGGTCGTAGACGAATGAAAGAAGTGGTTCGCGACAGTTACGAATCTTATTATTTATCACATCTTGATATTTCATTGAGGATCGAACTTAAACTGAGCCCACTACCCTATTGTCTCTAGGGTTTTTATATAAACAAAGACAGGATGGAATGTGACCGTCAGGATGGCTGGTCGCATCTGGCGTTGAGATTATATTCAAGAATTGCTACCTTTTCTAAATAATTGCTACCCAAGGGTAGCAATTATTATAGAAAAAAATAATTGACCAGCCATTCTGACGTCAAGTTGGCTGGTCGCCACTTTGTTCAGTATGAAGGGAGCAGATTTACCAGAAACATGTATTACCAATAATAGCTACCTTCACGAATTAAAGGTGTACGCTTACTATCTACATTAGTTAAAAAAATATAACCGATTGAAAATTTTACGAAGAAGTGCCTGATAAAATTAAAAAAGCAAAAGTTTTTAGTGCTTTATTGCCATAATACAAAGGCAGGCGTTGGTACTTGTTCGTACAGGACCATATACAGGAGCCTACAATTTTGTATAATTTGCTATAGAATGTATTAAATGTTCTAAGCATATTAAAAATGCGAAAGGATATAAAGTGCGGACAAATCCTTGATTGCAACCAAAAAAGACGTGACTAATCGCATTAAAAGAATTTTAAATGACGGGGCTAAAGCCTGTGGGGCGCTGGTTCGAATCCAGCCGGATGGAATGAATTTTTCTTAGTGTTTCGATGTTTGTCATAATAATTATAACAAATTAGTGGAGTAATTTCACAAAAAATAATTGAAGGTGATGGTGGTGAAATTTCATTCATTCAATAAATTTAAAAATTACAATTATTAAAGCGCCATCTCTTAGTCAGCGGTGGTAGCTGTGAAGGAATAAATTTCTCACAGATGGCGCTACGGCAAAAAGTCGTTAAAAACCAAAAAGAAAGATCTGCAACAAAGCATACAGAAAAATTAGTAAGGTCTGCTGGTTCGTTCCGTGGCTTAATTGGAATCTGGCACGAATTGCCTGAGGGTACAGGTTCGAATCCACACATAGACCGAATTAATTTTTCTTAGTACTTCGATCTTGTTCCTCCCGTCACTTGATATATTGTACAAAAAAACTTTGTTGTAATAATTATTAGTAATTTTTCTGAGTGTTCGATCTTTGTATTAATAATTATAACAAACTAGTGGAGTCATTTCACATAAAAAATAATTGAATATCAATTCAATAAAAATTTAAATACAATGAATAGCGACATCTCTAGCCAAGACTGATAGCTGGGAAGGTATCTAACTGGGTGACGAATATTCCTAGATTTCTCATAGATGGCGCTACGGCTAAAAAGTCGTTGAAAAAACCAAATACAAAGACACGACAGCAAGCGCGTAGAAAAATTTGTGAGGTCCACTGGTTCGTTCCATGGCTTAGTTAGCATAGCGTCTGGCACGGTATGCTAGAAGACGTCGGTTCGAAGGAATTTTATTAATAATTAATTATTAGTAACTTCACAAAAAATAATTGAATATCAATGGTAGTAAAACATCGTAACATTATGGTACCGACACATTCAATAAACTTAAAAATTAGAAAGAAACAAAATTCATTTTCAATTCAATATGATTTATTTCATTTTGTAATTTTTTTTCTATATGAAAGATGGTTGTGCTTTCCAATGCATAGTTATTAAATTTATCAGACAACTTCAATTCGGTGACCATATTACCTATTCAACATTTGTGTAAATTCATCTTATGTTTCCTCAACGAGGATCTTTCAGCAAACGGTCTGTTGCAAACATCACACGAAAAAGGCTTCTCGCCAGTGTGTGTCCTTCGGTGAATTATCAAGCTTGTTTTCAAGCCAAACTGCTTAGGGCAAACGTCACACGCAAATCTTTTCTCACCAGAATGTGTTAAATGATGATGTGTTAGTGTACTTTTTTCTGTGAACGATTTACCACAAATTGTACAAGAGTATGGTTTTACTCCAGTATGTATCCTTTTATGTTTTAATACGCTCCCTTTCTGTCCAAATCGTTTGTTACAAATGTCACAAGCAAACGGCTTGTCGCCTGTGTGTATTCTTAAATGTGTTATCAAATGATGGCGCTGAGTAAATTGGCTGTTACAAACGTCACATAAATACGGTTTTACTTCATTATGAATTAACTTGTGTGACATGTAATTCCATTTTCTTTTGAAATTCTTGTGACAAATTTCACACGCATAAGGTTTGTCAGAACTATGTGACAGTAAATGTCTTTTCAGTATCGTACTTGACACAAATTGCTTGTCACATAAATCGCATGGGAATGGTTTAACATCACTGTGATTTAAAATATGACGTTTTAAATAAGAATGTGAAGTGAATTGACGCCCACAGATGTGACAGGCGCATGGTTTCTCTGTACTGTGGGTAAATTTATGTCTTTCCAAGTCAGATTTCTTTCCAAATCTTCTGTCACAATAAAGACATAAATATGGCTTAGAGGCAATCTTAACTGTTGTATTATGGGTTTCTTTATGAGACTCACATGTAGATTTTCTTGTAAAACTTTTGTTACAAATCTCACATGAAAACGGCTTCATATCACTGTGACATAACATGTGACGTTTCAATATTGAATAAGTAGCAAACTTTTTGTCACAATTGTCACAGCAAAAAGGTTTATTTGTACTGTGCATGTACATATGTCTGACTAAATGTGACTTTTTATGGAATTGTCTTTGACAAATTTCGCAGATCAAATGTTTTTGTTGATGTTCGATTAATAAAGATTCTTCATCAAATCTTATATTGCAACATTTGCACATTAAAACTTTATCTTTGCTATGTACTTTTTGGTGCTCTAGCAATTGTCTTTGTGCATAAAATTGGTAGTCACACCAGGGACAATTGTAACACTTGCCTATAGCTGCACATAGATGTCTAGAAATTTGACATTCTAAGCTATAGTCATTTCTGCAAATATCACAATTAAATAAACTGTTGTGAACCTTTTTATGCTCCAGAATGTGGCTTTTGCCATTAAAATGTTTCACCAAAGGTCTTTTACATTTGAAACCAATTTTGCAAATATCACATTTGAATTTCTTACTCTCCTTTTCTGAGTCACTATCTTTTTGTTCCCTTTTCTTTGTTTTTCTATCTATTTCTTCTTTGATATTTAATTCTACATCTTTTTCTACAGGTTCTTGTTTCACAATGATGTCATAGTCCATGTGGTCTGCGTCGTAGTGGCAGTCCCTATCAATCTTATGCGGCAAGTCAGTCTGGGTTGATTTTTCTCTGCATTTCAATTCTCTATATCTATTCTCCATATATTTTTCTATAGTTTCAGCAAAACTATGTATAGTTTGAACACCCTTTTCTACATTTCTAGCTTTTGGTATACTTAAATTTAATTTTATATTTTGATTTTCTAAAATGTGCATTTGTCGATTCATTTCAAAGTTACTTTTGTAGTTTACTTCTTGAGTGTCTTTTGTTTCAATTCTTTCTGTACAATTTTTTTCTTTTATGCTAGTTTCCGGTGATGAAACTAAAGGATTTACTTCCATTACTTTAAACTCTTGGTATGATGATTCAATTCCTGAAAATAAATTGTCTAAGATTATTAAATTATTAAACAGAAAGAGAAAATTTATGAATTATACGTATATTAATATTTGAAGGCTTCGGGGGTCCGGGAAGGACCAATTTGGAACTTATTTAAATTGCCATTAATTTACAATACTATAGTACTATGTACTGTTTTTATATTATTAATATACAAAGATCGAACACAAAGAAAATTCCTACAATCTGATAGAACCCTAATTTGCATCTGCAAGGCAATCTAAAGTGTTGCCATTATATATTTGTGTTCAATCTTTGTATCAATAATTATAATAAACTAGTAGAGTAATTCGGGAAATGGGAAAATTCTAAAAGTCAGGAGTGACAGTATTAGGAGACGAATCAGGTTAATGGATGTGTTGTCAAAGATAGATCAGGTAAAATGGAGATGGACTGGGCATCTGTTGCGTGGGCCGGAAAAATGAAGCAAAGTAGTCACCAATTGGAACCCACATGATGGAAAACGTCGCGTCGCGAAGGGCGTCAAAGATGGGAGGATGAGCTGAAGCTAACTGCAGGATCTTGTTGAAGAAGAGTAGCTCCTGATAGAGCACACTGGAAAGCTCTGGAGAAGGGTTATGCCAAGATGCGCGCTGAGTTAAGAAATATAATGCAAAAATTTAAAATGCAACGTAAAATTATAGTGTAAAAATATCTCTAACTTAACTTAAAAAGGCTATAAATAAAAAGCGGAGTAATTTCACAAAAAACATGGTAGTAAAAAAGATAGTAGTAGTAGAGTAAGTATGATTGAATAATCACTTGTCCAACTCCAAACTAGAGAGACCAGAGACTGTAGATTCTGCCACGAAGCCGATGAAACTGCCCTTGAATGTATACACAACACTCGTAACTGGGCAGGCACCACTAGTGATGAAGAGACTCAGTCTTTTAAGGCCTTTTGAAAAACCTAGACTAATTTTTAACGCCTCACGACTAGTCTAGTCTTTTAACCCTCAAATCTTGAGTCATAAGATTAAAACTGAAGACTAATTCGAGTCGAAGTCTTTTAACCCTAGGAAGCTTAAAAGACTTATAGGACTAAAACGACTGGCGGCTCATAGCCTCGGGAGTCGCGAGTCATGAGCCGTATGGCGTGATTTTATTTCTACCCACAAGGTATTTTACGATTTTTTTGTAAGCAAATAAAAGTGACTATTTACTACATACTACTTTGCAAACAACTCGAGTCGTTTAAGTCTTTCAAGTGGTTCAAGTCGTTTAAGTCTTTTAGTATAACGACTGAGTCTTATTAATAAAAACTCGAAACCCCAGTCTTAATTTTTGAGTCGAGTCCTGTAAAATGGAGTCGAGTCGTTATAAAACGCCTTAAAAGACTGAGTCTCTTTCATCACTAGGCACCACAGCATTGCAGTAATGAAGAAGCAACACCAGCTTAGGATAAGGCCTCTTTAATAATCATAAATTCGTTAAATAAATTCTACCATCTAATAAAAAGAGCAGAACCTCAACATTTAATGGAATATGGCTATTATGTGGCTCAAAGAAGCCAATTTCAATTAGGGGATATTTAGCAGGTTGAGGAGTTCAATATTGTGTTGGGTGACCCGTTGGCGAAGAGGTAAAACTCAATACTCATATGTGAGGTCTTGTCTCTGAGTACGAAGCGACACGATATAGTAAAATAATCCACAGGGATTGACATCATAAGGCCGACATTGACACACAAGTGTTACAGGCCTTATTGAAAATAAGGGTGTCTGACAATCTCCATGCCTCGATTCTTAGTAGGACCAATTTGTGAAATGAACTTGACTTTTTTTATGATATCAATTGACGGGATGAACGAGTTGTGTGCCATGGTAAGCTACACGCCTGTCTATAACCCTTGCAGTGCCACCCGGTGCTTTAAATATCAAAAATCTGAGGGGCACTGCCACTGCGCCCGTCACTCTGAGACATAAGTTGACAAGTCTCATGTGCCTGTAATTTCATCAGCGCTCTTACCCTCCAAGACCGAAACACAGTAATGCTAACGTTACTGCTTGGCGGCAGAAATAGGTGAGGTGGCAGTACTACCCTGAGCGAGCTCTTTCACAAAGAGCTTTACTGTTACTAAAACTTAATTAACTAGAGTCGATTGGTTTGGGACTAAAGGAAAGAGAAATTGGAAAGATGAAGGCAGCCTAACACAGGGCGGGCGACCCTAATACGCCAAATAGATCACGACAAAACAACTGCTCATGGTCCATGAACCGATCGCCGTTCGAACATGCATAAAAAAAATTAGACAAATTGACGGTTTTTGAATGGATTCTGCATTGGGCTGAATAAGTCTTTGCCTAGTACCTAGTTGGGTCTGAATATTATGGAACGAGTCTAGTGGAGATAAAGCTACTGGTTACTAATTAGTTTTATGTCATTAAGGCTTAACACGTTCAGCGCCAAGGCCCTCAGAGGCAAAAATCGTGGGAATTCCATTTTTTTTACATTTAGTTTCTATTGGTTTTAATTTAGTGTGTGGAATAAATATTATGGACCCCCCCTCCCCCTGTGCCCCATTATTTGCATTTTTTCAGTATCAGGCAGGATACACAGGCCTGGGAGCTTTATGTCATTCATTTAGTTATATGCAGCTAAAATATAAGCACTAAATAATTAATGAGTGCAACAAAATAATAATTTATAAGTTTATGGAACTAAATTTGATCTCATTCAATAAAAAAATTGAGTAATTAAAAAAAAAGGTAATTGAAACAACATATTTCTTTCTTTTCTTTATTGAACTATAACTTCATAACTATCACAGATATTCACATCACTAAAATACTGAACAATTTGGGAGGGCTTACAAATACATGTCGGCCTAAAGAGGCAAGCTTTACCTGTGTATAGGGACACACTGATCTGGGACAAAAACATTGGATGTATATCGAGATAGACACATGTTGCTGAACGTGTTAAGAATTTGTATAGTGTGAATATTAGTGGAGAGTGGGCGTTGGCCTAAAAATAATGGATATTGATTGAATTGAAGAGGACTCATTCATAAGGCTGATTCCTCTGAGAAGAATGACCAAGAAATTTTAGGGGTTGCCTTGTAAATAAACATTTGTGCATATTTATCATTTACATTGTTTGTTACAATGATTAAGAACGACTACCTACTAATTAAATATTAATACTGATTGTTCTGAGAACATCGAGTATATAACCAGAAATAGAGACGAAATGTCATTTAATTTGTTTGAAAACCACTGTGACAACTGCGCTCCGATTGGCTAGCCCAAATTCGAAACAATTGATGGGCGTTGTCAATTGTTTCACTTTAAATTGACCAGTTTAACTTAAGTTTTGCTATAATGGACAAAAATTGCAAAATTACATTTTTCATATTTCATTACCAATGAAATGTGATTCCGTTTGTTTTGTAATTAGATGTTTTGCTCTTTTTCCCACACCACATAATGGAACAGCCCCCATTGTTAGAGATATTATCTTAATTACAACAAATACAGAATATTTTTTGGAATATACGGAGACATACACACAGGTCAGTTGTTGGCTCTGTACTATTTCAGCTTTCTAATTTGTGATTTCAGCGCAAACGAGAGTTGATATTTAAAAGTGATATAAGGCCCATTTACCTGATGAGTTGCCAGGGCTGGATGGCCCTTATTTGGTTTCTATTTCTGGCTATATACTCGATGTCTGAGAACAATGAGCAAGAAACACGATGGGTTCTTTCGATGGGCTCTTTGTAAATTAATATCATTTTGCAATATTTATTGTAAAATATCGTAAGTAGAACAACTTGAAACAGTTCAAAATCCAAATACTTATGCAAAAGCTGTATGGTGAATAAACGTTTGTTCAAATTTTTAAGTATAACATTGATTAATACTGAATAACAACAGGAATCATATTATAGAAGCTTAATATAGCCATTTAATGAATTTGTGTCTTTGTTAAGACGACCTTCAAGAACAGCCAACTTATAATGATGTTTAATTCTTACAAAGATTATTTTACATTCAATTTAGATTACGAATTTTTAAAAGAAAATGCTACAGTAAATGGCTGCCCATTGCCTTACGCGTGATCAAAATGATGTACCCACCTGAAAATCACTATTGTCGCGATAATAACTGTGAAAATTTATTGTAAATAGCAAATCTTGAAGCCAAAAAGTTATTTTACTTCTTTATAAATAAATACAAGTAAATAACATCGGTTTTAATTCACACAAAACCATTGCCTACATTTGTTTAGTAACAGTTTATTTTGTAATCAAAATTACAAACGTCAGTTCTAAAATGAAACAAGTAGAGCGTTGTATCTTTTACACATATCGATTTTCCAATTGCCGTTCTAAAAAAACATATCGGATTTCTTTTCATGAAAAAAAATGGCGGGTTTTTGTGGTTACAGTTTTTACGCAAACTAATTTTTAGTATAAGTATTAAATGTTTTGAGTTAATTATTTGTTGCCTGTTTATGCAGATCAATAGCATTTACTTATAACAATAATAACATATTTCGTGAAAATAAAATGGCGGGTTTTTGTAATTTACAGTTTTCTAAAGATTTAATATTTAGTCTATGGCTCAACTCACACTGGCGATGGCGCAGTCTGTTTTTCAACAACAAAGCTTGGACAACACAGAACAAAACAACAAAGAATGTGAACGCGAGAGCACAGGCATATATATCTAGATAGACGCCGCAAGTGTACGTACTTCGCGTGCCCAAAGTAAGTGGAATTCACTTACTTGCCGCTGCTACACTTCAGAACGCGCTCGACCGTTATCGTAGATAAACACCAGTCGAAAACGCGAAAAAATGCACAATTGTGCCATTATAAACTGCATAAGCACCATAACTGAGGGCAAACGGGTAAACAGGGACGTTTCCTTCCACGGGCAATTGATTTTGTAATCAGAAGATGCATAATTTATTTTAAAAACAATTTCATTTGGTTTTGTATGAGTTTCGAGAAAACAAATATGCAACCGAGTGTATGCCTCATGTTTGTAATACATTGCGGCTTTTACTTGATGCGATATACTTATGATCCTTTGTTAATACGCCATTCATATTGAACGAATGCATTTTTGTATAATGCATTTAGTTTCGTGGTACGGCCGCTTGTACATTTTTTGGTCCATTTTAACGTTTAATGATATATACGTTAGGCAATACTGTTCTCGATTCTGATCGATTTTGTAAACAAAGGCACGAAAATTATGACCTTTAATATTATAAAAATATTCTGTTACTCTTTTCTTTTCGTCATGGTTGGACGAAGGTGGTCTAGTTTTTTTTTTTACCGTGCGGTGACGGATTAGAATACAATTCACCGCCCCTCTCTTCCCGTGGGTGTCGTAAGAGGCGACTAAGGGTTATTGAGCTACCAGCTGCTCCACTGGTGGTAGGGCTTGAAAACACGGCTGGTTAGTGACCACCGTGCGCATGATGGAAAACCCGCCAAGTGTTCGCTAGTCGGATGCGTTCCGGGATCAGTCAGCGTACAACCAGAGCCCGAGGCAACGCTGCCGCGACATTTGTGGTCTGTGGAGGCTTCCGCCGAACCAGTGCCAGGACAACTGCATTGATCCGCCGGCCAGGGAGACCCGTAGAAACGGTTGTTCCGCTGGCCGCCCGCGGTACAGTACAGGGGCCCAAGCGTGCTTAACCAGCTCGTGAGGCTGCCTCACCATACCGCGCATAATCTCGGTGTGGTTCGTCGTGCCGGTTGGTGACCGGAAGGTGGGGTCCCGGCGGCCATTCCCGGGGGGGTTCGGGGGCCCTTCCGTCCGGCGGATCAGCGCAACTTGTCTGTAGGCAAGTCTCTGGGGAAGCAGGCCCCGCGATTTGACCGCTTGTGTCGCGGCACTGTTTTCTCGCTTCACGCCTCTTTTTCCCTCCAACATGTTAGCGCAAAGTACAAATTTCGGTCGTACAGCGGTGCACACCCCCACCACTAAAGCGCTCTTTAAGGTGGAGTTCACGAACATTCGAGGACTCCACAGTAACATCCACGCCGTCCACCAACATCTTGAGACGGCTCGACCAGAAATGCTGTTCCTTACGGAGACGCAAATACTCTGCCCGGCTGACAGCAGCTACTTGAATTACCCTGGCTATATGCTTGAAGAGTCCTTCAAAGCGAAAGCTGGGGTCTGCTTGTTTGTCCGGGCAGATGTTTGCTGTCGCCGTCTGCGTCATTTGGAGGACCCCTCCTTCTCCATCCTTGGGGTACATGTTGACCTGGGCAGTCATTGCCGTGTCTACATGTGCCTCTACAGATCCCACCACGGCGACATGGAGACAACTCGTCTCATAGACCACCTTACTCGGGCGGCAGATGACGCGCAGGCGCAGTTTCCTACAGCGGAATTGGTGTTTTTAGGGGACTTCAATGCTCACCATGAGTCGTGGTTAAGTTCCTCTAAAACTGACCATGCTGGAAGAACTGCCCACACATTCGCTCTCACACACGATTTAACCCAACTGGTAAACCAGCCCACCCGGATACCAGATAGGGTTGGTGACGCGCCCTCTTTGTTGGACCTTCTGCTGACGTCTCGCCCGGCTGGATATCGGGTGGAGGTCCAAGCCCCTCTGGGCACTTCGGATCACTGCTTGATATCCACTAAAGTGGCAACGTTACTGCCACCACCACCAACTGTGGCTAAACGCCGCATTTGGCATTATGCGTCGGCAGATTGGGACGGTATGCGAGACTATTTTGCATCCGTTCCTTGGCGGCAGCGCTGTTTTAGTGAGGTGGATCCAACAGCTAGCGCGACTGCCGTTGCTGATGAGATCTTAATCGGGATGGAATACTACATCCCGCATTCGGATGTCGTCAGTAAAGGGAGGCGCAACCGCTGGTTCAACCGCGAGTGTGCTGTGGCTGTTGAGAACAAACAGACTGCATACCGCGCTTGGATCAAGGGTCGAGCTTCAGACGATCCCAATACGAACTCACTTAAAACAGCCTACAATAATGCCACCAGGTCTTGCAAAAGAGCGTACATCAGAGCGGATGCTCAGCGCGTCGCACGAGTTGGCCAAGAACTCCTGACGCATCCCACTGGTAGTCGTAGTTACTGGCGTCTGGCCAGAGCCGTTGCGTCGAACTTCTGTCAGCCCTCGCTGCCCCCGCTGAGATATTCTGACGGCAATCTAGCCCACAAGCCGCAAGATAAAGCCGACCTCTTGGCAAATCTGTTTGCGGCTAACTCCTGTCTCGACGACTGTAACGCACAGCCACCAACTCTACCTCACTGTGTCTACACGATGTCTGATATTCGTATCAGACAATGCGATGTGCGTACGCAGCTGCAGTCTCTCGACGTCCGGAAAGCTAGTGGTCCTGATGGTATCCCAGCGATTGTACTTAGGAGCTGCGCAGCTGAGTTGACCCCCGTGCTAACGCGACTGTATCGTCTGTCACTCTCTTCAGGTCGTGTGCCGGACTCTTGGAGAGAGGCTAATGTGCAACCAGTTCCCAAAAAAGGCGACCGATCAGACCCGCATAATTACCGTCCCATAGCCATTACTTCCATAATATGCAAGGTTTTAGAGCGGATCCTTAACAAACAACTGACCCAATACCTAGAAGATCACTCCATAATTAATGATCGGCAGTATGGGTTTCGTCCGAAACGATCAACGGGTGACCTTCTAGCGTACTTATCGCATATTTGGGGTGAGGCTATAGACAAACGTGGCGAGTCGTTGGCTGTTAGCCTCGATATAGCCAAAGCGTTCGATCGGGTCTGGCACAAAGCTCTTCTCTCCAAGCTCCCGGCGTACGGTTTGCCAGCCCAGTTATGCAGCTGGATTGCCGATTTCCTTCGTGAGCGGAGAATTCGCGTCGTTTCTGACGGCAGCATTTCGAGGTTCGTGAATGTGAACGCCGGCGTACCGCAGGGATCCGTCCTATCTCCCACGCTTGTCCTTCTGCATATCAATGATATGCTTCCACTTGGGAATATTCATTGTTATGCAGATGATAGCACTGTTCATGGGGGATATCACGGATTCCCCGCAGCTGGGCGCGCCGATACTGACAGAGAGCGATCTAATCTTGTCGGTGAGCTCAATAGGATATTGGACCTCATCTCTGCATGGGGATCTAGAAATCTTGTTGAGTTCAACGCCAAGAAAACACAGGTTTGCGCGTTAACAACAAAATTGTCGCCGTTCCTTCCCATGCCTTCTCTGATGAGCACAGCACTCTCACCTCAGAGCAGTTTTACCTTGCTCGGTATGGAAATCTGCTGTGATTTGAATCCAAGGAGCTACATCGAATCTGTGATCAAAACAGCCTCACGGAAACTCGGAGTCCTGAACAAGGTGCGACGTTTTTTCACGCCGGACCAGTTATGCCTGCTGTACAAAACACAGGTCCGGTCTTGCGTTGAGTATTGTTCGCACTTGTGGGACGGCTCCGCCAAGTACCTACTCGATGCCTTGGATAAATTACAGCGTCGTGCTACTCGAATTATAGGCGACGAAGAGGTCTCATCACGCCTTGAACCTCTGCAACTGCGTAGAGATGTTGCATCGCTTAGCGCCTTTTACCGCATGTACCATGGTGAGTGCTCTGAAGAGCTGTTCAACCTCATCCCCCCTTCCCCGTTCCTGCTTAGAAGCACGCGTGCTGGCCTTCGTAGTCACCGTTTCACTACCTGCCGCATTCCATCGCGTACTAAAAGGTTTGGTGGCTCCTTTCTCTGCCGCACGGTTGACAAATGGAACTCCCTTCCGGCACATGTCTTCCCTCCCTCTGGGGTCCTTCAAACGAGGCGTGAAGAGGCATATTGTAGGCAGGCAGGGTGGAGGTGGCTAGTGCAGTGAGGGTTTCATCGCTGCACTAGGTTCCTTCGCGTTTGGATACCACTTTCCACTTAACATCAGGTGGAGTGGAGTCATTTGCCTGTCATGTATAAAAAAAAAAAAAAAAAGTTTATCCCACCTAAGATGCTATCCAAATTTGCAGAGTAGCGGTACCTATATACAAAATGTATGTTCGAAGTCGATTAAAAATTAAAGTCTTAATTTTTTTTAAGTAATCAACATTTTTTTAGAAACAAGTAAAATAAAGGACTAATCTATCTTATTCTAGTATTTTTCTACTATATTAATATTATGAGTAAGTACTTGTAATCAACAAATACTTAAACAAAAATTATTCTATTTAGAATCGATTAACTGAATGGAATACGCGTGTTTACGCGTATTCCGTTCAATCAATCGATTTAGAGCTAGCGGAAGGAGGTTTCCATCACTAAATAGTTCTTGTGACGCCATAGGTCGCGTCACGATTGTTATCGTTGGACGACTGTCGTGTCTAGCCTGTTCCCATATCACGACTATCTGTCGTGGACGATTTTTTATCGTTGAACGACTGTTGTGACTAGCTGTTCCCACTAGATCGTGACGACAATTTATCGTTTCACGACAGCCTCCTTGCCCATCTCTGGCTACGACCCAACGCTACTCGCTTAGCAGCAGAGGGCGCGGGATACGAGAAGGGAGGGCAGGGAGCAGAATATGTGCGGACAGCGATAAATAAAACGTGACGACAATAGGAGCTGCGACAATCTGTCGTCACGTTTTTATCGTGACGTTTTTTTATCGTCTGACAACTGTCGTTCTAGCTGTTCCCACTGTGACAGTTCGTCGTTGTAACGTTACAAGTCGTGAACGACAGTTAATCGTGTCGTGCTATATGTGAACAACTTCATTTAAATATACAAGCCACGACACTGTAAACTGCACGACAATCTGTCGTCACGACATAGTGGGAACAAAAAATGTGGCACGCTTGATTTTCATACGAATTGCTGTACTTGCGGCGTCTATCTAGTTATATGTTTGTGCTCGCATTAGTGCGCACACAGATCACGCGGATCACAGTGTGGTCGGCGTCTGACGCCTCACTGCGCTCAAGTGACACGCATCGACGCTCTGCCGCATCCAAGCGTCGATGCGCGTCGACGCCCGTTTCCATATTTGCATAACACAAATTTGTACTTCAATAATGGGAAAATAGAGATGAATATACTATAGGCGAAAAACATGACGCGTCGCGACGCTTCGACTCTGCGCCAGTGTGAGTTGAGCTTAAGTATACTACGTTTTGAGCTTCTTATATAATTATTTGCTCTATATTTTTAAACTATTGGCTTTTTTATAACCAATGCTCAATAAATAATTATCTCTGTTTTTTCTCGAAAAGTGTGAATGATGAACACAAAAATACATAAATTGTGCTGTCAAGCAAGAGCGTCGTAAAGCTCGGCACTTTGAACTGTTCGTAAAGAAATAGAGTTGATCTAAAACTGAAGTGTCAAGTCTGTCAAGTGCCTTGACCGTGTATGTACTTATATTACAAACTATAAGATTAATGTATACGTTGTTTGTACGTAAATACAGTACCTACGTTACCCTCATATTATGGCTTTGTCTTATGGTTGATAATTTCGAAAGCCTATTGCGTAACAATAATTAAAGCTGTAAGCGCATAATTACACGTAAATCGGTAACAACAACGGGACCATGAACTCCCAGTTAGTTGTTCTATATGGACCAGGCCGGAGATCGCACCCGGAACCTCAGAGATGGTGACACCTGTACCTACACTGGTGTGCAAGACACTTAACAACGAAAGTCATCTACATAAAGAGGATAAGTACAAAAAAAAAATTATTTGAAACTTATAAATTTTAATCATAAGGAATTAATTGATGCATATAATAACCACATTACTTTATTCTAAAAACAAAAAATCAACTTAACGAAATCGTCTTACATTCCCAGTCAATTAAGTTGCTTGTTTTTAGTGAACTGACAAGTTCAAGTTTAACTCTGTTCAACTGTAACCTTTGTAAATTACTAGTAATTAAAAAAACGAAGTATTTAACTAGATTACATTTAACGTATAGGATTTTAACACAGCATTGATATTGGCCACGTATGAAGATAAAAGGAAAATATTGAACATATTTTTGTCGAAACTAAAAAGTACTTAATAAAAAAAATGCATGGTGAGTACTGTACAATTGCTATTGCACAGTTAAGACACTTTGGACTTAAGAATTTAAGATTCGGAAGTGACAAGCTCTTAACTCTGCTCTGCTGGATAAAATTCAATTTGTAATTGATGTTGACACTGGCACAAGGCTTGTGGCCGCCATAAAGGAAATAATGATAACCCTGTACGGCCGACACAGCTTGTAACAGAATGCAGCAACAAAAAATTGCATGGCGGTAACGCATGATATTGTAAAATTATTTTCTTATAGCCTCTCGGCAATCTTCGTGCTTCTTCTATCGTCGGAGTTCTATCAGTTTCCCTTTGCACTTGATGCAGACTGGACATGCTCAATCGACTTGGAAGCAGACAGAGTAGCTACTACTCTTTATTTTGTTACCATTGTATATATTTTATAGATTGAAGAATTTATAATTTTTATTAAGTAAACATTAGTAATTTTTATTATAAACAAACCAAACAAACACCACTAAAAGAGAAAGGAGAGCTACGAAAAACGGTTCTTTCAATATTAACCAAACCAATCGTATTAAAAATTATTGCCATTTGCCATTGCAACAATTATTGCCATTACAACAATCAAATGATTGCCTTTTATGAGGTGAATTTATGTTTATAAAAAAACCTTTTATATTTTTGTTTAAAATTGTACGCACATACATCTTTACTCCCCTAAGAACAAACAACAATGGTTATTATTAACAATTGTTTAGGTTACTGTTCTTTTTACTCTAACTTATTATAAATTGCAAACTTAACGTATTTCGAATTATTTTTTTTATAGTATTTTGTACAAGAAATGTTCTGTAATTTATTTAAAAATTAATGTTTGCTATTTAGTTATAGAGGATAAAAATGTGAGGGTTGTATTTCTATCCTTAATAGAAGACTTCAACCTTGTATAAAAAAACTTGATCACTTTTTAGAAACCATATCTGCCAATGGTACGTATTGGTGATGCAGGAACAGTTATTTAATGTTCTTACGTTTCCGCAATGAAATACTATTTAGGTTTCTAAGTGCGGTATTGTCACGTTTCATTTTCTTATTTTTCGAGTTGGCAACACCTTTCATATCTTTATTTTTCATAGCAACATTTTTGTTCACAGCTTTACTTACTACCTTAGCATTCTTCTTAATTTGACCTTTTCGTTTAAGATAAACTTTATTTCTTGTAGCGATCGTTTGTATGTTTTTAGTTTTGTTTCTTGTTGTATTTGTATTCGTTAATAATACAGGTGAACGAAACTGTTTTAATGAATTATTTTTATTTACTTCGTAATGATCATTTGTTATTGCAGCTATGTTAGATATATCTTGTGACGAATTGTCGTAATTTTTTCGTTTTCTCAATATTTTTCTAATATCTCGATTAATTTCCATATCAGAACTATTATTTTCTAGTTTCGCTGTAACAAATTTCTGTAGACAACAGTTATCCTTTCTATCGGCATTGTCTAGTCCGGCATTATTCGTATCATCATCGCAAACGTGCTTCTTTCCATCCTCAATTTTATTATTTTTATCACTGTCAACTTCACCCTCTTGTAGCTTTCGTATCTTTTTTACAGAGCCATGTTTTCTCTTAGCTTTTACGGATTCAGCTTGTGTACTTTTCTTTTTATTTTTGGAAAGTATAGCATCACTTTTTACGATTTCATCAATTGGCTTTCCGGCTGTCTTGGCACACCAATATGTTCTATGTTTATAGTAGTCATAACGCAGATTGAATTTTTGTCCACATTCGCATAAATAATCACAATGACTAGCTTTGTGACGTATAAAACGAGATTTTGTAAGAAAATTCTTCTTGCAAACATTGCAACAGTATTTTTTTCCATGCGTCACGAGGTGCATATTTAATTTAAACTTCTGCCCGAATACTTTGTCGCAAATATTACAAGGAAACTTCTTCACATGCATGTTTAACATATGTTTTTCAATATGCTTTTTATCTTTATATCTTTTCTTGCAAACGTCACAAAGAAAAGGATACGCTTTTATATTTTCTTCACTGCAATTGAAATTCATGTGTTTTTTCAAGAGATTCGCGAACATAAACTTCTTATTACAAATTTTGCAATCGTAATCTTTTTTATTTGTATGCCGTTGTAGATGTAACTGCAATTTGCATTTTCGAGAAAACTTTTGACTGCAAATATTGCACTTAAATGGTTTCATTCCCATGTGTCCTATGATGTGTCTTGTTAAGTGGTGTTTATCACTGAAAGATCTTTGGCAGTAATCACAATAATAAGCGTGAACGTGCCGAAGCGCAAAATGATGCTGCAGCATATGACCGAATGGGAATTTTTTGTCACATTTTGTACATTCAAATTTCATTTCTTGGTTTTTATCGTAGCAATACATTTTCATGTGGAAACTTCGAGTTATTGTTGACGTGAATTGTTTATTACACTTCTCGCATGGATATAAATTCATTGCTTTGGTTACATCTATGTTTTTTCTGCAATATCCCGCTTCATGTCTCAACCGCGTTTGTAGAGTCGCATATATATTCCCACAAAATGTACATTGGTATTTTTTACCGAATGGCTCATCATCCAGTCTTCGTGCGGAATCAACACTTGTACAAACGCTTTTAATTACGTTTTTACCATCATCATCTTTAAGATCACTCGATTGTATTCGAGGGTGTTTCTTTGTATTGAAATATTGTTTTTTGCATCTGTTTTTTGTATGTTGTACTTTCATAGTACAGTCAACTTTATGTCTATTAAAACTTATGAAATTGTTGAACCTTTCTTGGCACACCTCACAATAAAATAGTTGTTTTCGAGGGTGTTTCCTCGTGTTGAAATATTGTTTTGAGTATCTGTTTTTTGCATGTTCTACGCATATCGTACAGTAAGTTTTATGTCTATTAAAACTTATAACATTGTTGAACCTTTCTTGGCACAACTCACAATAAAATATATAATTCTGGGTTTGATTTTTCATAGCATTCCTTTTATGTTGTAAAATAGAGATGAGCGATATTTTATTAGATGTCTCTTTAATAGGATTGCAAATCTTGCAGTAACAGAACCGTTGTTTATGGTCTGAGATGATGTGTCGACTTATGGATGTATATGAGCAAAATGGGAGCTTGCATTTTGGGCAGTGAAATGTTTTTTTTAAACCTGGAAACAAAATAAAATACGTAAAATGATGCAGTAAAAAACATATACAATTTAAATCGTGCCAAATTCTTAAATACCCTTATAAAAATGATCAAAAAGAAAGCAGTACTTAGGTTATTTTAGTTTACACTTTTACTAACGCTTATGTGGGTTGCCTTTGTGCACATGTGATCAATCACTTTGCTATTTCAGTAGAATACTTTTAAATTGAATTGAATTTAATGCTAAGGTGCATTAAATTCAATTCGATTCATCAATTTATTATTACCTGAACATTTGATTGCATCCTGCACAGTATCGCGAATTTCAGGATCAACGTCTGATAACTCTGAATCATCGAAGATTTCTATAACTTCTTGGTCATTTTCTGTTTTTCCACCATTTCGTAAAAAATCTTCACATTCTAGTAAGCCTTCGTCCAAAGTTTCCACTTCATAGTTATCATTATCACTATCATTAATTAAATTTATCAATTCTTGTTTAGCCGTTGATTTGTTATGAATATTGCTCGTTTGTGATATACCTTTCTCTTCCCTAAAATTGTCGTTTGTATTTCTTTGAACACTTTGTGATACAGAAATATTAGAATTAGTAATCAAGTTTTGAGTATCTGTAGTTTTATTGTCTTCAGGAGCAAGTAAAATCTTAGAATCATTTTCATTGTTCTCTTTCGGGTCTGTTGTTATAGCTATATTACTAGAAATAGGCGCTACTACCCGTTCACTGCTTTTCTCTTTCGTTAAGCGTACAATATTCTCTAGTGAAATTAAATTTTGTCTTGACAACTCTTGATTTTCATTTGCATCAAGATTTTCAGGTTTCAATTCTACACAATCAACATTTTCAACTTTTGGTTTGACATAGTTCACGTCTGATGGCAAAATGGAGACAGCGATGGCTTTATCTTTCTCTGGGCAGTAATTGTTACCTGAAATAAAAGTAAGTCGTAGGTCTATTGGGAACTAATGAGTTTTGTGAATGTCACGTACAAATACTTGTTTTTATAAGTTCCAGTACATGCAATGCAAAATAATGTTCTTGAAATGTCTTGATACCTGAAGAAGAACGGTGACCAAAACAAGTGCACGAAAGAAAACACAATGTGAACACGGTGACACTTTCTTTTTTTTTGGTTAGAACCGTGTTCAGCGGTAGTCATTTTCCAGTTTATTACAAGGTAAATAGAAAAGTCATATTATGTTATATTAACAAAACTTACCTTTACTTTGAGTGATAGCGGCTTCGGTCTCCTGCATTAAACGCAAATTGTTATACAAGTCTGCGTCAAGTGATTCTGTCTTAATTTCAATTTTTATCGTATCTTCATTTAGAATTTGATTTTGTCTGGCAACGTTTGTCTTTGCAACTGAAATAAAAAAATATTAAACAGTCAAGAGCACATCAATTTGAAACTTTAAAATGTTTACCGTTCTTATCATAAGCGGCATAAAGTTGAATTGAAATCTTAAGTGTCAAGTTTCACGTGTCCTTGATCCTTGATAACGAACTAGTGGAAGTGAGCGTATTCTTGTAGCCATTGTTATGATATATCTAACATAATTAACTTTTGTTGTACGTCAACGCTTGCTTTTGTCAAACATGTGCTTTACTAAGTAAACCAAAATTATTTGAGTTATTTATGGTTTCCTGTTAGCAATAATAAAAATGTGTCCAGTGAAAGCGTTAACGATAAGTGTTATTTTCAATAAATTAAACATTCTATAACTGTTATTCTAAATATTTGATAATTTTGTGTCATTATGACAAATAAAAAGCACCTATATTTTATTGATATTAAAGTCTAATATTCTTTTATTATTTCCACATAATTGGAAATTAAACTATTTTTATGTAAATCGCGAATACTTTTTTTTCCGTTGTTTCAAACACACCAACGTTTCGGTCCCTTTACAGATCCCATGGCCGCGGGCTCACGGGAAACACATTTATTTTAGTGTCGAAGTGTGTCCTGTCCAGCAACTCAGTACTCGCTTGACATCTGTCAAGTGGACCAAAAGTTGATGTTTATGGGATTCCTAGCTTTAAGTCAGTTACATAAGAATAACTGAGCGATAGTGTAGTGTTCATTTATTCAGATTATTTATTCACTTGTCACCGGTAAGAAGTGGATAGTTATTTTCGGCAGACTGCAGGTGAAATTTTAGGTTAATACTAAAGCGACTTGAAATTTTATTCTTTGACCAATATGGTACTTAATCTCACCTTATGTCTGTACTTTCAGTTTTTTTAACATACTGAATAGTATATAACATTAGTAAAAAAGAAGTAAATAGTAGCATTGACGTGTTCTTGAGAATTCATGAGAAGTGTGGGTGTAAATTCATACTAAGTGCATTCCCTTACTGCTCTAACCTAGGCATCGCTCGTAATAAGTATATATATAACATAAATTCGCACATACATAATTTGACTTGCCGTCATAGTAACGTTATATTTTGTTTTGACATTAATAAGTTCGTAAGGAACTTCAAACTTTTTGAGGATAATTTACTTTTACCCCTAAGGTATCTAAGACATATAGCTAGTTTGCTATCTTTTAATATTAAGGACGCTGTTATAGAAGATATAACACAGTCCCACGACAATGCTCCTACTTTAAGTAGCAACAGTATACATTTTACTAACCATAATTTAAACTAAAAAACACGACAACAGAAAAGTCTAATCGTTTCCATGTAGTACATCAAAATATTCAAGGCTTTTCTGGCAAAATATTAGAAATAAGTCTTTTTTTGCACGATATTTCCGTTGACGTGTTTTGTGTTACAGAACACTGGCTGAAAGATTACGAAGCCATTAACAATATAGAAAATTATGTAATAGTCAGTTCGTTCATAAGAAAGAGCTTAAGTAGAGGCGGATCCATGATTATTATTAAGCGTAACTTAAAATTTAAAGAGCGTAAGGATATCACAAATCTTTCTACTGAACGAACTATTGAGATTTCATGTGTGGAATTGGATCAGTTTGTCGTCTTATGTGTATACAGGCCCCCCTCTGCTAATTTTAACGAGTTTGAATTAATTATGGAAGACAGTTTAAAGCGGATTTTTCCAACCAAAAAAAACGTAGTAATATGTGGAGATTTCAATGTAAACCTGTTGGAAAACTGTTCTACTTCTGTAAGACTCATTAATTTATTTCAAAGTTTTAACTTGATTAATCTTTTTTTAGAACCAACTCGCATTACTGCCTCCTCTTCTACTTGTATTGATAACATCTTTTGTAACACAGACGCAGTGTCTAAATCAATAATAAATTGCTTAAGATCCGACCATAGTGGCCAATTGGCTACTTTTAATTGTAAAATGAGCAAGAAGGTAGACCAATTTCTCTGCAGACCGATTACCACAGAACGAATAATTAGATTTCAAAATAATATCGGCAACAGTTTAAATTCCCTATCCCATATACCGGAGGATCCAAATACTTTATATAACACGATATTTGGTTTAATTAAAAATGAATTTGACAATATATTTAAATCGAAAACATTAACTTTCCATAGAGAGACTAAATTCAACGACTGGGCAACAGTAGGTATTCATAAGAGTAGGTCTCGTTTGTATGAGCTATATGCTATGAAAACTTATAATACTAATTCCAATTTCATAGAATATGTTAGAATTTATTCGAAAATATTTAAAAAAGTTTGTGTAGCTGCTAAGGTTAAGTTTCACAGCGACAAAATTAGACAATCGATAAATAAATCTAAAACTACTTGGAGCATAATAAATAAAGAGTCAGGCAGGGTTAAACTACACGATAGAGATATAGTTTTAGAATTAGACAGCAAACTTATAAAATCTAAAGATAAAGTAGCCCAAGCTTTTGAATCGTTCTTTTCGGAAATTGCTGTGAACACTACAAAATCATTAAATTCCTCCCCTTCACTTGCTATTGATCTCCTAAAGGAAAATGTTAACGTTTGTGGCAGTTTATTTAATTTTCGTCATGTTAATCCACAAGACATCATAAAAGCTTTTAAGTCAATACATGTTAAAAAAACTGAAGATCTCTGGGGCATATCAACTAAAGTTATAGACTCAGTTATTAATCTCATTTCCCCACAGTTAGCTGTAGCTTTCAATAGGTGCGTTGACGAAGGTGTTTTTCCCGATTTAATGAAATACAGCAAGGTTATTCCCTTATTCAAAAGCGGTAGGAAAGTTGATCCTAGCAACTATAGGCCCATTTCAATTTTACCAGCTTTAAGTAAAATATTCGAAAAGGTTATGCTAACTCAATTACTGTCCTTTTTCGGTAGGAATCATATTTTTCATAGTGAACAATACGGGTTTACTAGTGGTAGATCGACTAGCGATGCGGGGGTAGCGTTACTAAGACACATCTTTGATGCTTGGGAAAGGTCCCAGAACGCTATTGGTGTTTTCTGTGACCTCTCAAAGGCATTTGATTGCGTTGATCATAATACTCTTATTAGTAAGCTGGAACATTACGGTGTAAATGGCAAGGCGTCGAAACTTGTCTCGTCATATCTCAACGGTAGAATTCAGAAAGTAGGCATAAATGGAGCGACTTCTTTGGGTTCTCCAGTAAAAATGGGTGTTCCGCAAGGCTCAATACTTGGACCTTTCTTATTTCTGATTTATATTAATGATCT